CATTCAAAAAACGTCCAGGATTATATTTCCATTGAGACCACATCCCCACTTTTTTTACAGAACCGCAACTTACCACACATTATTTTATATTATTAATAATTTGTTTATTATTTTCGCAAACCGCTATACACCATTTATTATTTTTTTTTTATTAAAAATTGCTTGACCTGAGCAGGCATCGAACTCACGACACATCCATTATCGTTTTACGCTTTCAATTGCTAGACGAGCTCGACCAAGGAACCACTTGAAAACTTTTTACTAGATACAGTTATAATTGAATAAGATTTCAAACTTCCGCTGATTGAATGAAATGCAATAGATTCAATTTGTCAATTTTTAATGACCAGTTATATTAAAAAAAGAAGTATATATTATAGGTGAGTATTATCTGGTAGGCTTAATAAATAATGACCTAAGATGGACGTCCACTGGACGTCAAAATACTACTAAACTTAAAATTAAGTCCAAAAACAGACGTTCTCTGGGTATCGATATTCAGCTGTCAATTTAATTAGCATAAACGGACGTACACTGGATGCCCGGATATGGACGTCCTGACCCTCAAATAGATCTAAAGTGGACGTACATTGGACTATGTGTGCTGTCTGGGCATAGACGAATTTTTTGAAATAGTACTTATTTAATATTCATCAATATTTCCAAAATCAACTCCAGTATGATTCATTCAATAAATGTAAATATGAATGGGCAAAACATCTTTATATTGACAATAATTGTACCTTACAATTTAGCCATAATAAAGGGATTTCGCCTATTTTGACCAATCCTAATTGAAACACGCGGATTTACTATATTTTTTTAAATATAATTTTCAAATAAAATAAACAAAATCTTAAGTTCATTGTTTATTAAATTTATTTAAAAGAAGAAAACATATTTCACAAAATACAATACCTTCATATGAAAAATAAAATGTCAAAAATGATTAAATCATTATACTTTATATTTATGCATGCGATAAAATTCTTAGTTTCCTAATAACTTTTTTGGCACATTTTATATCTGCATTAGAATACTTAAGTGTGTAAAAATCTTCATCTTATTACTACACAAAACAAACACCAAAAAATATCACTTAACATTGCTCACGTACTAAACACAACTTGGACTGACTTTGACAGATAACATCATTTTGAGTGATACACAACTTATTTTCGCACATGCGCGTTACAAAACGGTACGCTAAAAACACCAAGCTGTCGCTTCTCCTTGATCGTTATTCTCGGCCTGGGACCTTTAATTGCACAATTAGTAAGGTGTAGGTAGGTGCCTAGTTAACGTCACGTAAATAGCGTCCATTTATATTTACTTATGTAAGTATATTATTAAGATTTAAAGTAAAATGTTATATTTTAAAACATCTCCCGTATGGAGTTGACAAAATGGAAAAATCTTTATTTTTATTTTAAGGAAAAAATCATTATAAAAAAATTCTGTTTGACGAAAAATAGGTTTACTATATTAATATGTTAGGTCAGGTATACATGGTCTTAATAAATGAAGAAACTTAAAATTGACAAAATGAAAAAATCTATATTACCTATTAATTTTACGAAGAAAAGTCACAGTTTTTCTGTCGGTTTTCCTTCATAACTTTAAAAGGAAACTTTTTCTTGTAATTTTTTTCAACAAGGAGAATTTTTTTGTAAGGAATGACTTTTTCTGAAAAAAAAAAAATGAATATTAATCGTAATTGTGTTATTCCCAAATATTGAAATGCTTAACAAAAATTTAATTCTGATATTCATTTTAATAATTATTCTAGATATGCGAATAACGAAGCTTTATCATCTTGATAAATCTAAAGTATTTTTATTACAAAAAGCAAGAAAATCTTAATTAGCCATTAAAGAAATTATAAGTAGTAAATTAAAAATTAGTAATGTCACATACAATCAAAATTATGTGTCTTAAGCAGTGCTATTAAAAATGTAAAATTCTTATATTTTGTCGAAGTAAATTCAAACCCCGCCAATTTTCAAACTAAAATAGTATTACATCTTTCTATATTACCGACTAAGTATTTTTTTTGTGTCATCGGCTTCAACTGCTGAGGTCATTTCGCCTCGTGTTCTGTGTAGGCTTTGTTACTGTTTTCCAGCGCCACTTTAGGAACAGCACTGTTAATTAGAACCCAACAGTGAATGGTCGAGTGGGGAATCCTACCAAGGCATCAGAATTAATTTTAAATAAATAAATTAAATGAAAAAATTCCGGCCAACGGTGGGATTCGAACCTGGAACCCTTAATTGCACAAAACTATTCCATATGTCGCTGAAGGTAAACATGCTGCCAAATTTCTGTGAGGAATCTGCAACTCTTAATTATCCTTCCTCCATGATGGTAACTGTGTAAACCTTACATCGGTCCAGTTTCAAAGGACGTTCAAAAAATTGCAATGTTTAAATTTATTACATTCTGGAACTGAAAACTGCGAAACAGGTGGGGATGCTTTACTTGTAAGGCTGCATGAAATTCGTAGGACTAGTAAGGATGAGCCATTTTCCAAAATCGCGTGTAATGGTGGCAATATTGTCGAAAATGTAAATATAAACAAGCATATTAATGAATTGCATGCACAACATATTAATATTTTTTAAGAAAATATTATTATATATGCGGATTTTTAATAAAAAAATGTCTTAAAATTCAACGTTGCGATGTATGTACACAATATGCCTTACCACACGAAAACTTGGATACAAGCTCCATGTATTGTTATTATCAAGCATACAAAAAAGCAAATGAAGATATTTTTGGCAATTTAAAAATAGCAAATAATAGTTTTGTATGTTTAATAACAAAAATTGAAATAATTTTTCAACACAATTTTGAATTATTTATCACCAAATCCGGCGTTTTTTTTAGATTTAATTAATTCCGAGATAACATTTGACGCTCCTTGTCCCCGATTTCCATAAATATATATTATTAAGGGTCGATTCCACCGTTGTGTTAAACGGAGATTAAAATGACATTGGTGGAATGACAATGGTGGAATCGGTCCTAAGTTATATTTAAGGCTGCTCATATATTACACTTTAAAAATATTAATAGAAATTTTAAGACCATCAATAAAAACAAGCTAATTATTTGGCGCAATCTGTAGAGCTTTTTTGTTTTAATACGATCCTGCCTATCAATACCTTATTTTATTACAAAATCTTTAAATACCCTTTAATTCGACCCTGACTAAGACTCCCGAATGGCGTCGCCAAGGTCAAATTTTCTTAGTATAATATTTGTATGCGATCAGCGGCAAGTGAGCCTGCCGATTGTTTCTTATGCCGTGGTTATATGATGCAAGCGGGGAAGCTGAGTTAGGCCAGCGCTGCAGGTAGCGTAATCTAGGTAGTTGAGTTAGGCCAGTGACCTTCTTTAATCCTTTGTCAATGATTAATTAGGAGTATTAATAAGTAATTAGGAGAATGATTTGTAGACACGTGTAGATACATTACGGATGTAAGGAAAATAGAAAAGTACTATTTTATTGTCTTTAATTGTCACCCAGTATACATTACGATCATGGAAGTCAAATATATTTTTAGCGAAAAGGGGGAAAAGTTGTTAGTTATAGGTAATTTTAAATTTTGTGAGGCAAATAATAATAATAATAATAATAATAAAAGTTTATTTGAAAAATGTACAAAAAATTAAATATAATTTTTATTTTTTTTTTAAATACATTTTTTTTTTAATAATACAAATATTTTTTTTTTTAGGTACATACAAATAAACTACCCATTGCCACAAAGTATAAAAACTGTCCGTGGCGTGTGTAGAGATATGTTAAGTACTATTTTATGTTTTATTTTACAATTAATTAATATAATACAAATACTGACATATAATAATAATAATAGAGAAATTTGCCGCTTTTTTTTTAATTTTCATTATTTTTTATTTTATTTTTTTTTTTTTTTAATAAATTTTTTTTATTCTTTTTTTATTTTTCATTTATCTATCGATATTCATATCAATAATATTTCTGATATTTGCTCTATATTCTTCTAATAAAAATACTCTTGCCAATGGTAAGGTGCGATGGCGATGTGGTAAAAAAAATCTGGTGGACCAGATACTAACAATGTAAAATAGAAAATGGTTATTATAAATACTCCTGAGTGAGATGAAAAATATTATGGCTGCGCCCATAGAGTCGCATCTCAAGCCAAGAGTTTTTGCATGTATCATAGGCCCCACGCCGAGGCTTTGAGGGTTGATAGGCAACGTTATTCCCCACGTTAAATTCCCGGTATGGCACCCCTAAAGTGTAGCTTCTGGGAGGGGGTGAATTTTCAAACCTGTAATTAATATCCATGACCCTGGATCATAGGCCCCACTTTGATTCTTTTTTATGTCATCAAGGAGGTTGCCAAAGTCCGTGATCTCAATACGCCATTCACTTAAGGTCCGCCATACTTCCCGAAACGTGTAATTTTTCCACTGTAGACATGGATCATGGGCCCCACGCTGTTGTTTCGTGATCTTTATTAATAATGAACTGTAGAACAAAGATTTTAAAACGCCATACCTCTGGGGCGTCGCCAAGTGACCGCCATAATGGGGCAAACATGTCATTTTTAGCAATGAATATGTATAATAGGTCTCACCATGAAAATGTTTCTCGTTTGTTAATTTTGATGTCCTGAACAAAGTTCTAAAAGCCGATGCAGTATCGCCAGTTATTGGCTTCCAAAGTTGTAACATTTGTATAGGTTAATTGTATTAAAGGCCCCACTGCCATACCTACATTTTTGTGTGTAGTTTGAAGGATAAGGCACGAATATATCACTGCATACCGATGCGATGTCGCTAACGTCAGATATTGGCTTCCAAAGTTGTCACTTTTTTTATAGGTTAAGTCCTTACCGGCATTTTTATGTGTATTTTGAAGTATAAAGCACGAATATATTACTGCCATACACATGGCATGTCACTAACGTGCACAGTTAATCGTATAATTGGGAGAACAAATGTGCGGTTCTTTGGCAGGTCTTCATGCAATGACCGGATGCAATTATTTCCCAGCTTTGTACCGCAAAGGAAAGAAGAAGCCGTTGCAAATTATTTTGCAGAATGAGGAATTCCAAGGTGTTTTTATTAACAACGCGAAGAAAGCTTTTCCGTGTTTGAACGATTTGTGTGCAGTTTTGTTTTTTATTTCTCTAATATACAGAATAATTAACAAGTCATACATCGCTTTGTACGAAATGTTATACATTCTTGCAGGCTGTATGGTTAAAACCACATCAATACTGTTAACGAAGTCAAATCGCCTTTATTTTTAAAATCGTACAGCATGAAGAGTGATAAATAATCATTAAAAAAGACATTACGAAACTTTGATGCCTCGACTATTCCAGCATGCAAAGCTGAGTTATATCAACAACTATTGTGAGTATCTTACGTTGCCGACATTTGCTGTAACGCCCATTTGAAAGTTCCAATAGTGCACGAAAATGCTTCCCATCATGGTTGGGATTTGTCTGACTTTCAAGTGGTTTGAAAGAAAGTTAGGCCAAACAACATAAATAAAATAGTTCTGCAAAATATTGAGACTGAGGAGCGTAACCAAGAGGAACAGGAAACGACACAAATCATTGACCAAGGTTAATGTAACGTTTTTTTCATTTATTTATAGTTTATTTTTTAAAACACTATTTACAATTTATTTATAACATACTAATTAATTTATGTAATACTAACAAATCTAATTTATTTATTACAATTTGTCTTTACTTAAATTGGATTTGTCCGTCCGTCGACAAACTAGTGCTATTTATATAAAGCCAGCTCTGTACCAGAACACTCTAGGTGATCCAGAATGATCGAAAACTGCCTCTCTATAACTCATACGCCGCAAAAAGATCACTGCGGTAGCTTCTCGAAGCAGTGCGTTGGTCTCTATATGGCCAGCGCTAGACTTCATACCGCGGGCAAGGAGTAAACAAGGAACAGAGACGGCTTCGCGTCATAATAATATAAAATAATATTTCGTATTTCTAAAAAAATATTTAATATATTTATAACTTATATTTAAAAGACAAAATGTTTAATAACAATAATAATAGTATAATAGAGGGGGTGGGTGGCTCAGTGGTAGAGCCTCTGTCTGTGGATCCAAGGGTCGTAGGTTCGAATCCCACCGTTGGCCAGAATTTTTTCATTTAATTTAATTATTTAAAATTAATTCTGATGCCTTGGTAGGATTCCCCACTCGACCATTGGGTTCTAACTAACAGTGCTGTTCCTAAAGTGGCGCTGGGAAACAGTAACGAAGCCTACACAGAACACGAGGCGAAATAACCTTAGCAGTTGAAGCCGATGACACACACAAAAAAAATAATAATAATAATAATAATAAATAAACAAAGATATTACTTTTGTCATTCAATTATGCAATAATGACTTGAACTGAAATTAACGGATCAATACATTTACAGAAACAGCTAGTTCTGACGAAAAAACAAATGAAGATGAGGATGACGACGCTTCATCTGGTGGCATTGCAGAAACAGATATGAATGCATTTGACTACAATGCAGACCTATTAGATGATGTTTCATTTTTTAAAAATAAATTTCAAATAAACTTGAGTAGGTACTTTTAGTTAATACAGAAATGAATATTTACTTTATATCTTTATATATACCAGATTATGTATCGTAGCCCTGTAGGCGCGTTTTAATTTTATAATTATTTTATTTGGTATAATATTTTTGAGTAATATTAATAATTCTCGTTGATCAGTAGTTTAACGATAAACTTTAATGATTTCATCATAAGTAACCTCGGAAACCTATAAGAAAAATGGAAGCATTTTAGAACATTTTATCCGCCATATTAGATCTGGCTTTTTTATTCTTAAATATATTTTCATCAATTTCACAGGTAATGACCTCAAATACCTGTATATACACATTTTTAGAACAATCTACGAATTTGGAAATTTTTTGTCCCCATTTTGGGTCCGCCATTTTGATTTTTTTAAGTTTGGCATCAAATTCGTAATCAGCGACCTAAAAAACTGTAAATACAAGTTTGGAAGCAATTCTGCCTACCCATTCCAGAGCGTCGCTAAAAACAAAAAAAAATAGTTTTTTTGGTATGGCACCCCTTTAGCGACACACTATCGGTATGGCAGTGTAACGTACGCTAAAGTGATGCAACCACGATGAAAGACAATAAAGAGTTATTGCAAGTTCACTTAAGGTCAGTCACTATTAGTGTCGCTCTTATTTTAACATCTGAGCATGCGTAGATCACCAACTTTAACATAGATTGTGCCTGTCCTTAAGAGAGTTATTGCAAGTTCACTTAGGGTCAGTCACTATTAGTGCCGCTCTTATTTTGACATCTAAGCATGCGCAGATGTTTATGTTCTAAAACGACTTTATTAAGGATTGTGCCTGTCCTTAATTGTGGATGTTTAAGGGCAGCAGGTAGTGGCGACTTTATAGCTTTCGGATGCGCTCGTCATTTAAACCTTCTAAAATTATAATTTATAATGCCTCTTTAATATTAGGTACTATTATAGAATTTATTTGGTTCTAATTACGATGTCACTATTAGTGACTGGCTTTATAGAAATTTGCAATATCTCTCTATTAAGGATAGGCACAATCTTTATTAAAGTTAGTGATCTGCGCATGCTCAGATGTCAAAATAAGAGCGGCACTAATAGTGACTGACCTTAAGTGAACTTGCAATAACTCTCTAATAGGTGTTTCAACTTCCTTAAAATCCCATATAAAAACAAAAGACGTAGTTCCAAAAAATCTAACAGAGGTCGTTAAAAGGTGAGGTACCCGTTTCATCATTATATTGATCATTAAGAGCTAGATAAAGTATATTTTAACTTCAACATGTATCCAACTTCAAGATTTGGCCATCAGATGATTGGTCAATCATTTGACAGGTTATTTATTATACTAATGTTCACGCAGCATGACATATACTATATTTACGAACAAATATAATTGTATTTTATTTATAACTCTAATAATTTTGCAATATTATTTATTAAAGTTAGTTTAAAGTAATGCTTTTTTTCATCGTTGTTGAGGTCTAGTTATTATCTAGTCTAGTTATTGTTGATCTTAGGTATGAATGATGTACCTGACAAATTTTAATTTAGATATATCAAAAGTTGAACTGGACAAAGTTGAATTAAAATAATAAAGACGATAGTAATTGCTGTTATAAGCTTTTATATTATTTTGTAGATAAAGAAAAGAAACGAATAAAGGTATTTTCAATTTTTTAAATGTATTATATGTGTACATTTTATTAGAATTAGCAGTTCGACTGTTAAGACATCATCCGTATATTATAAATGTAAACAAGAATGGAATGATTGATAATTTGTTCTTTTTTTACATTTATAATGCAACCTCTTGGCGGATACTAATAAAATTTCCACACTTGAAAAGACCTACCTTTCCTTCGTTTTTCTTTATCAATCTGTGTGTAGTTACACCTACAAACCTTTGATTTACCTATTTTGTAAATAATTAAAGTTGTATAAGTTAATGAATCTATTGAAAACAATTCTCTGCGTTTATATTTAATAAACAGTTTATTACAACACTTATTCATATAGGTAATTAAGGTTTACAGATCATTTTTGTACCTACCCTTTTCATCAATTTGCCTTGTAAGAACCACATTTTATTACAATTAGGAGATCCTCCATGTGAAATTGTTTAGGACTGGTAACAAAATAAGCATGCATCTTTGGAATGTGTTTATTAATTATCTAAAATGTGGCAGTTATAATTTTATACCTACTCTTCTGTAAACATAACATCAAAATGGCACTTAACACTTATTTTTTCAAAACCCATTTCAACAATATTTACAATTTTGTAGGAAAGAATACACACTATTTTTCTTATTTAATTATTGCTGTCTTGTATACTAAAAATGATGAAAAATAGTAATGTTCTCACTTTGTTTTGATGAAATATATGGGTGGTATGTGGTATAGTATTTTTCTTCTCATTTTCACTTTCCATATCGTTTGTTATATAGAATATTATTAGTAGTGAATTACCATTATTTAAAAAAAAATTGGATACAGACTATTTTTTACTCGATTAAGATAAAATTAACTGAATTTTTCTGACAATTCGCAGTCATTGTTTTCATTTGAGGTACTTCATCTTCTACCGACATCTAGTGGATTTTTTACATACTATGCTGTTATTGGTGCCATATTTTAAAAAGAGTTGAAACACCTGTAAAATGTAATTCACCGGGGATGCAACAGAGTATCTTAAAACCAAAACGCAATACCGGTACCTATTAGACATGTTCATTGCTAAAAATGATATGTTTGCCCCATTATGGCGGCCGCTTGGCGACGCACAGTGGCGCGGAGCGCCACTGTGCTACCCAAATTACTCTACGACTCACAGGATTGATCCGTTTTAGACGTGCGTCACCTTAAAATGTTCGTCTTGAGTTTGCCTATCGACCCTTGTTCCGGGATTTTTGATTTCGAATTTTATTTTTCTGTAATTTGTGTCCAAAAATTTACTTTCATGGAAAAATGGCGATTTTGGGTGCAAAAGTCATCCTAGCGAACGCAACATTGAGTCTTTACAAAACTTTTTTGAAGAAAACTCTTCCTCTTGACAACCCTTACAACCCTGTGTACGTCAAATTGCGAGAGAAAAACGGCGAAAATTACACATTTTTGGATATTTTTTACGAGAAACTCATCCTATCACCTAAGGAATATGTCCGAATGTTTGCAGAATTTTTGGAAAATTTCTGAAATTTTGGAATTTGGCGATTTCCTGGCCAAATTAAATGGCCAAAAATATCCTCAAACATTCTGAGAAAATTTGTACGTATATATATATATATATATATATATATATATATATATATATATATATATATATATATATATATATATATAAACACTTTTTATTGAAAAAAATTTAGATTTTTGTTCCAATAGATTTTTGATGAACAATTTCCTTTCGCATCAATAGTTTTGGATCACTATGGTCGTTTTTAGGCATGACGGCCAATTTCTCTCGCAATTTGACGTACACAGGGTTGTAGGGGTTGTCAAGAGGAAGAGTTTTCTTCAAAAAAATTTTGTAAAAACTCAATGTTGCGTTCGCTAGGATGACTTTTGCACCCAAAATCGCCATTTTTCCATGAAAGTAAATTTTTGGACACAAATTACAGAAAAATAAAATTCGAAATCAAAAATCCCGGAACAAGGGTCGATAGTCAAACTCAAGACGAACATTTTAAGGTGACGCACGTC